GTGGTGGCAAAAGGGGTAGGAGGATGAATATGGTGCAAACAGTGTACACACGTATGTAAATGCAAAAAACATACCTGTTGAAACTGTTCCAGGAATCATGGGAGGGGTGAGGGGAGAAAGAAGTGGACAGGGGAATTTAAGTATGATATATTTGATACATTGTAAGAACCTTTGTACCCATATCCAGCACAACAATGAAAAAAAAATCCTGTCTTTTAATATGGTGCTTAGGTCTTAGAAGAACAGAATATCATTAAATCATCTCTACCTGTTATCATCCCCTTTCTAAGATACAGAGACAGTAAATGGTACACAAGAGATAATCAATAGATAGTTGTGGTTAAAGTAGTAATATTTGATTAAAATTTTATTACCAATTTTGGGAGTACTATGAGAGAGGATGACAGAGAATATCTCAGTCTACTCTTCATCTTACACTTCCCTCATATCACTACCAACTCTTTTTTTCCATTTCAACCTCTTTTTAAGAAAGATAAGCTAGTTAATAACAGAGGAGAGAGGAGCTGACAAAAGGCCACTATATGCCTGCATAGGCTACATGCAACAGGAGTCATACAGAGACAAGAGGATTAGCAGACCCTGAAGAAGAAATCTGGTCTTGTAGAACAGAGGTGGTTCTCGTGGTCACATAAGGAAAGCCATCATCTTCTTGGTGAGGAAGGAATGGAAAAATTTTATCTCACACTATTCCCAAGGCTATAGGAAGGGAGCACCCAGGAGTAAACTGTGCATGTGACTTCTTAAGGTGCTCTTTCATTTCATCATAAGGATGACATCCTTCCTGCAGGGGCAGCATAGTGCAATAGTAACCCTGAGGACACTTCCCTATCCAGCACCACATCCTCTAACAACTCCTCTTTCTTCTCTTCTCATGGGCCCACATAGAATCATTTATTCTGACATTATCAAAATAGGGACTTTTTATCTTGGGAGTGTTTGTCTTTCACAGGGCCTGGGTTTACAATCGTGGATGTCAAGGGAACCAGCTTTAGAGAAATTGAGGTCTAATTAAGACTAATTAGCATTATGAAGTGAGCTGGCCTTCCTTGCCTAGTGATTCTCTGAGATGTCATCATATGAACCATTTGCTTTGCTGTCACTTTTGGATTCCCATTGAAAAGAGGAACATGAATGTGGATTAAGCAAGATTTAATTAGCTAAATATTTCTTTAATAAAAGGCAGAAATGAAAATTGATCATCCTAGCAAAAAGAAGTATAAATCCTAGTCAACAAAATTGCCAAGAGTCAAAGTACCTTGCTTAACATCACATGGCTATTAAGTGACTGAGTTAGAATTGAAGTGAGATTGGCTCCTCCAGAGCTCAAGCCCTTAGCCTCTGTGCTGTACTGTCTGTTTTTAGGGATGGTTCCAGAAAAGTTCAGAAAATCACAGGCAGAGCACATCAGGGGCACAAGGACAATCAGTACCAGTTTTTCTGCCAGCACGACACAGATAGCCCTCAGATACAGACAGGGCAGCCAGGCTGACAGGGTTTCCACCCTGTGGACATCTACTCTGCTGCCTGCTGTCATCTGTCCTCCTTCCTCCTGGATCCCTCATTTCCTATCCTCTTTCCTCTTGGATCCCTCATTTCAGGCACCTGAAGAATAGGAGAACATGATAGCTTTGCTGTGCCTGAGATTTCTCAGCATCCAGAAGGGTCCCCAGACTGACAGGGTCACTGTTAGAATTTTAATAAGTCGTTAAGGCCTCTTTCCTGTGAGTTGTTAGAATTTTTCAATAAGAAATCTTGATATTTGGTGATTTAAAAGATCATTCCATTAAGTAATGAAGTATCTATTAACAGGTCATGGCTGAACACCTATAGTCATAGACAGTTTATGGTCACAGGCACAACCTATTCTGTTTTCAGTTTTTTTTTCTCATAATGAATTAAACGAAATGTTGCCTTGTGGTATCCACACATAGATGGTGTTTTCTCCTCAGAAATCCCATAGAACAAATTAATTCTAAATGCCTATTGACGGTGTTTATGCCCCTCAACCCCCAAGGCCTGGATCTATTCCTCATGTGACACAATTTGAAACTCCTTTTCCATCCTTTTCACTATGAGTGAGGGTACAGGTAAACAAGTGAGAGCAACAGAATGAAATGGATGTTATTGTTCACAGGTGGTTAGAGTTGTATGCAAAACAATCAAATTTACCATAATGCTGTGTTCTGGATCCACTGCTCTTAGAAACTCAGCCCAGAAGAGGTCTGGTCATTCTGGCAACCATCTCAGAGTGTCAGTCCAGCCCACTATATGAGACAATGTGCAGAAGGGCCAAGAGATGGCATTTCTGGTGAATCTAAAGGCTTAATGATGTGCTTTGTCTGATAATACAGCCACTCACTCATTCATTCATTGAGCCAACAATCCTTTTATTGCATGCCAAGAACTGAGAAAGAAGGGGAACAACTCAGATGTTCTCAGCTATTTGCATGGAGTCCACTCCTAATTGTCATACACAATGATTTGCCATTTACCTTGATGCCAAGCCAATAGCACATGGAACTTGCCCTTCATGAAGGTCCACAGAGTGCCTTCCTGCTTCTGCTGCGTGTCATATATTGATGTCCTCCAGACAATAATCTACTTCCACACCGCTTTAGGTTTCCCCAGCCTGTGCCTCCTAGACCATTGTCCTCTTCTGGCTAAGCCTCTTACTGATATCTTTCTCAATTCCCTAAACTCCTCTGCTTCTGAGATCTCCACCTTTGCTTTCTTCCAGGCCATGTCAAGGTCTTGTAATTGCCCAGAACTGAAACTCCTCTAAAACCTGGGGCACTCTTCTTCAGTCTCTGAGCAAGTCCCATCTCTCAAATTTTCTAACACTTTCCCTCACCTTCTCCTGCCCTTCCCCACTTTTCTCCCCACTCTTTCTCCATCCTTCCTCACTGAGGTCCTCACTCTGAGAACTTCTCTTTTATCCTTTTAGCAGCCCATCTCTAGATCCTTTCTAAACCTTGTAACAATTTGAATTGGTCCCTCAAAATTGACATTTTGAGGCTTTTCTAAATCCTGCATCTGTTATGAATCACATTGGGATCTTGAGAAGGAAAGATGTGAGTAATTAGCACTTAGAAACCCATTAATAATAAATCCTTTATGCCATCACTAACCAATATCTTGTGACCACCAAGCACCAGACAGACTGTGATCCAGTCATTCCAAACTATCTACCTGTCATTCCTTACGTAGGCGATGCTGCTTTTGTCTGCTGCACAGCAAAACCTTTTCCCATCCTAATTCTTCACGCCACTCACCATTTAACCTCTGTTCAAGCATCACCATCTCTGTGAAGTCTTCTCTGATTAGCTCTAAGCAGAGGTGACCATTTCCTCTATAGAGTCTTCAAGTTTTCTTTCTTAGTTTTCTTTTTTGGTGGTACTGGGGTTTGAATTCAGGGCTTCAGTCTTGTTAAACAGGCACTCTACTGCTTGAACCATGCCTCAGCCATTTTTGTTCTGGTTATTTTGGAGATAGAGTCTAGTTCTTTGCCCAAGCTGGCCTGGACCTCAATCTTGCTATTTTGTGCTTCCTACCATAGCTGGGATGACAGATGCACACCACCGTACCCAGCTTTCGTCCACTGGGATGGGGTTTTTAACTTTTTTTGTCTCCTGATCTCAGCCTCCCATGTAGCTTGAGATGACAGGAGTGCACCTTAACAGCCAGCTATTGCTTGAGATGAAGTCTTGCTAACTTTTTGCTTGAGTTGGCCTTGAACCACAATCCTCCTGATCTCAGTCTCCCAAGTAGCTAGGATTACAGGCATGAGCCACTAGTGCCTGACTAAAGTTTCTTATGCTTTTCTCTCCGATAGCAGTTTTGACAGGATATTGCTATTACTAGACCTTATCATTTTGGTATGCCAAACTATCCCTCATTTCACAGTGTACACCCTCTATCCAGCACATTGTCTGGAGCTCATAGCTGCTGAAACTCTTTTGGACACAATTATAAGCAAATGAAGAAATACAGGACTAAAAATGAATGCCTACAATGAACCATGCTTTGTGCTAAGTGACCCAAATATTACAAAGAAACTAAGATGTCCCATTTTAGAGGAAAAATCACCCAGCTTGAAAGAGCAGGGGTTGTGTTAGCAGATGCAGTTGAATGCTTGACTAATTTAGAGTTGAATATCTCTTAAAGCACATCAATCCAATATAAACTAATATAGCAAAGCAGAAGGGTCTTAGAATACTGGGTCTTGCTGTTCAGTCTCTGTCCATCATACCTTAGGCCTAATATCTACCTGAGTTCAGTGATAAGGATGTCTATCACAACAGGACTTGTTGCCACTCAGCTTCTAAAAATGGGTACAAACCAGCACAAACATAAAGCAGACCTTCAGATCGGATCCTCAGCTCAGCACTTGGAAAGCTGGTTAGGAATTAGGAAATCCTGGATTATGGCCTATGGGACAGGCCTGCAGGTTATTTCTGCATTTATTCTATGACCTCTGGCTTCTACATTCTCTAGGTACTTCCTTCTGTATTAAAGTAATTCAAATTGGCTTACTTTCCCCACAAACCATCCTTGGAGGCTAAGAATTGTCAGATCTTATAACGAAAGAGGGCCATGTTTGGGTACCTGTTTTTCCTTGTGGAGGCATTTCCTTTGTTTATGTAGTGACAGGGCTGAAGTAGAGATGGGTGGATCTAGGCTTTCAGTAGAATGCAGTTATAATACCCTCTTATAAAAATTTTTGTTTTGTTTTCAGGATCTTTTTGCCAATTCCAGCCACCTCCCTTCCTCTAAAACATGCTGAACCCAGCAGCTCTAGCTCTATCAGTTCTGCCCCCTGGGTCCATTGGTTCTGGTCATCTGATAATGCTTCTGCTACACACAGGACCCTCTTTTCTTCCTCCTCTTAGTACACTTGTAGCTAGTCAAAACTGAATATTGTTACTTGAGGCCTACTTCCAGCCTAAAGTTTCAGTTTATCATCTTCAGCTGCCTGGGTCATGGCTCTTCTGTTCTCCTTGATCCTTGGTGAGTATCTCTGCTTCTACTTGTTTAGAGTTCAGGGTTTTCTGGAAATTTGATTAGAGAATCTCTCTATGAAGTTTCATTTATTGCTCAGGAATGCTTTTCTCCTTCTTTCTACATCTGGCAACTGTTCTAAACCCTTAAATAACCCTTAATCCATTTATGGATTATATATAATCCATAGGCATATATACCTAATTTACTGTATATATATTTATGAGAGTTTATCCTATTCTCCCTTTACAGAATTTTTTCTGAATGTACTATTATGAAGTCAAATGAATGGACACAGAGTAGCAGCAGGTATAAAAAGTAGAGCAGAAAGACTATCACCTTTTATTGGTCCTTTTTTCTAGTTTCCTCTGAAAAGTATTTCATACAATGTTTCACTAACTTTTTCTAGCTCTTATTTTACACAGGTTGATCTAAAATTATCTAGAGATAATCTGGAGTTTTTGGAGCTAAAGAGACCTGGGTTTTGTCCTGGCTCTTAGGTGACTTCACTGTCTGAATTTGTAGATTATTATACCTCTCTGAAATCTTGCTCTCTAATGAAGTGAAGATAATGTTACGTTTCTCGGAAGTTTTTGAGAGCTATCTCATAAGATAACTAATGTAGGATATCTAACAATGTCTTCTAAGTCTTTATACTAATCAATGGCATCTGTTTTTATTGTCTTGGTGATCTAAGGCATTACCAAAGCCCATACAGTTCTTTCAGTTTAGCACTTATATGTCCAGTATAGGATGCTGGCCATAACTTGAACATCTCTACATTCCTCACAACACCCAACAGCTAGTTGTGCCCCTCATGGGTGAACTATTGAACCTCCTGGGCTCCTCCACAGTCCCACCTCCTTTATGAAATTTTTCTGATCTGAGCCACCTGCAGTTACCCACCCTGCAAGGAACTTCAAGTCACATACTTCTTATGTCACTTTTGCACTGTATATCAAGCTTTTCTTTCCTCCTCAGGTACCCAAGTTTTGTGTGGGAGGTTATACAATGATTAACATGTGTAATATAATCTTGAGTTTTAGACAGTTGCAGACAAGGTTTCACTCAGATAGTTGTGGTTATAATCTGAAGATTAAGAACATGGGGTTAATGAGAAGTTATCTGGAAACCCAGGGAAGGAAATACTCTGGTCTTCACCACTGAAATATTTGGATCTTCCTAAAAAACTCTGACTAGAGGCCCTAAGATATTTGCTCTTTCAGAAAAATCCTGTAAGATGGGGGTGGTTGATCAGTTTTTTTTTTTTTTGTGGTACTGGTGTTTTTTTTTTTTTTTCATTTTTCTTTTATTATTCATATGTGCATACAAGGCTTGGTTTATTTCTCCCCCCTGCCCCCACCCCCTCCCTTACCACCCACTCCACCCCCTCCCGCTCCCCCCTCAATACCCAGCAGAAACTATTTTGCCCTTATCTCTAATTTTGTTGTAGAGAGAGTATAAGCAATAATAGGAAGGAACAAGGGGTTTTGCTGGTTGAGATAAGGATAGCTATACAGGGCATTGACTCACATTGATTTCCTGTGCATGGGTGTTACCTTCTAGGTTAATTCTTTTTAATCTAACCTTTTCTCTAGTTCCTGGTCCCCTTTTCCTATTGGCCTCAGTTGCTTTAAGGTATCTGCTTTAGTTTCTCTGCATTAAGGGCAACAAATGCTAGCTAGTTTTTTAGGTGTCTTACCTATCCTCACCCCTCCCTTGTGTGCTCTCGCTTTTATCATGTGCTCATAGTCCAATCCCCTTGTTGTGTTTGCCCTTGATCTAATGTCCACATATGAGGGAGAACATACGATTTTTGGTCTTTTGAGCCAGGCTAACCTCACTCAGAATGATGTTCTCCAATTCCATCCATTTACCAGCGAATGATAACATTTCGTTCTTCTTCATGGCTGCATAAAATTCCATTGTGTATAGATACCACATTTTCTTAATCCATTCGTCAGTGGTGGGGCATCTTGGCTGTTTCCATAACTTGGCTATTGTGAATAGTGCCGCAATAAACATGGATGTGCAGGTGCCTCTGGAGTAACAGTCTTTTGGGTATATCCCCAAGAGTGGTATTGCTGGATCAAATGGTAGATCGATGTCCAGCTTTTTAAGTAGCCTCCAAATTTTTTTCCAGAGTGGTTGTACTAGTCTACATTCCCACCAACAGTGTAAGAGGGTTCCTTTTTCCCCGCATCCTCGCCAACACCTGTTGTTGGTGGTGTGATACTGGTGTTTGAACTCAGGATCTATATCTTGAGCCATTCACCAGCCCTTTTTCATGAATTTTTTTTTTCAAGTTAGGGTCTCTTGAACTATTTGCCTAGTGTGGCTTCAAAGTGCAATGCTCCTGATCTCTGCTTCCTGAGTAGCCGGGATTACGGGTATGAGTCACTGGTGCCCAGCCTCAGCCAGTTTTGTAGTTGAAAATGCTTTTTAGTTGAAAATGCCCCAGAGACTACTGAAGGTTTCAGGGAAGCATTAGGAGGAAACTTAATGGGCAGAGGAGTCTAACCATACATAGATCCTATAGGAAAAACTCCAATGTTCCAACTATGTGCTAGTAAATCTGGTGGTTTGGAACTAAGTAAAGAGTTTCTTCTGACATGTTGATCTAAATAAAGTGTCAGCAAACTACAGCTTACCAGATGAGAATGGCTGTCATATTTTTAAATATAAGAAAAAGTCAAAAGAAAAATAATATTTCATGACACACGAAATTTAAATTTGTGTGCATAAACAAATGTTTACTGGAATGTAGCCATGCTCTTTCACCCACATACATATAACTACTCTCATGTGTTACAATGGCAGAAATGAGTAGTTACAACACAGACCACATGGCACACAAAGCCTAAAATATTTTACTGTCTGGCTCTATCCAGAAGAAATTTGCTGACCTCAATCTAAATGCAGTGCCAGTGAACACAGCCAAGTCCTGCCACTGTCCTCTGCCCTATGTACTGCCCATGTGGTACCATTACCTTGCCCACCAATATACCTTCCCAGTGGCCTCCAGTACTCTTTGCCGTTAAGCCAAGGGGCTGCATCACACTTCCACTTCAGGTGGTTATAACCAATCAATTTAATTGACAAAAACAGGAAATCCAATCTATCTGTGCCTGGGGTGGAGCCACAACCACATATAAAGGGAATGGCTGGTAGAATTTGTCTCTGTGATTCCTAGCCAGTGTCCTTTGAGGCTGTTTATGCCAAGAGAAGAAGGTCACAACAGGCCTGACCTTGGAGGCTCTGTATCTCCTACACTCTCACAAAATATTTGACAAGGACTTTCTAGAGAGTTGTATTCTTTGAACAAAACTTTGGAAATTTACTCTATGACCTCACTCCCTTTGTTTTTTATTTCTTTAGCCATCTGTACCAGACCCAGCCTCTTAGGTAAGTTTTTTTTTTGGGGGGGGTGGGGTTAGGGGTAGGGTAGGGTTCCTAAGAAGGTGGTCTCCAGGTTTGGGAGAAAAGAAATTTTGAAGTTTCCAGGGCCATGGAGAGAAACTATGATTCAAGACAGGCCAGTAACATTACTTTCTGGTTTGCCACCTCACCTTATCAGTCTTGTGTGGACGTATTTTACCTCCAAAAAACATGGACGGGTTTATGATGGTTTATTCTGCCAACAGAACCTCTGTGGCAGAGAAGTTCAGCCAGCATCCAAAACAGGAGACAACCTTATTTCAGACCACATCTGGGAAATGAACTTTTTTGCCTTTGTGGGTTCCAGGGCTACCTGCCAGTCTTCTTGGCATTTTTGATTGAATTAGAAATACATCTGCATCTGTGTTGTGCATAGCTTGATCAGAAAAGGTCAGGTTTACTTCAGCCTTATTGACTGCCTCCTTGAGGAGTTTTTGGGCAATGCACCTGAGGAGAGGATAGGGCTGCTGACAGAGAATAGGTTTATGAGAGAGGAAGGGCATAATGGTCCAAACCCAAGGAGACTGGCTGTGGATTACAAATTTCCTTTTAATTATTCCTCTACTCTACCCTTTTGCTTGATAGTAGAGACTTTACCAGAGAGGGAAGCTACAAACTCTACCATTGGTGTATGGAGGATGTAATTTGATCCCTTAAAGAGTGCTACTTCTGGGCTCTCATCATGACGTTCAAATTACTTGGTGCATTTTTCCTCGTCTCCAAGACTGTCACTTTTGGCTGGTGCAGGGAGACACCTGTTCTCTTTACAGCTTCCCCACACCCCAGGATATAGCTCTTGAACCTCTAGGTCCTTCTCTCTGCTGATAAAATAGGCTAAAGGAACTCTCCATTATGCAGCTGCCCTGACAAGACCCTCTACTCTTCCTTCTACCTTTCATATCTTTTCTCAACTCTTCTATTTCCTTCAGCCAAATTTCTTTTACATTTTGCCCTGCTTTTTTTGCTTATTTATTCTTTCCTAAGAACGGCTCTAGTCTTTCTCTCCATAGAATATGAAAATTCATCACAAGAGGGAAATTTAAAATCCAAGAACAAATAAAATAACCTGTGCAAGATCCTGATAGCAATTATTTTCTGGAGTGTACAATAATGTCAATCCAAGCTCTAATCTTAGATCCATTGACCCAAAAATTATTTCTATGTGACTCTCTTGAGTTCTATCTGTACCCAAACATATAAGTTTTAAATTCAAAAATGGAAACTTTCCTTACGTTTTAATAACTTAAATATTAATTTCTGTCTCTAGTTTCCATTCTTTGTATTTCCCTCCCGCAAAAAATTAAGGAAGAAAAGGAAACAAAAAGCAAACCAATAAATCAAACATAAACTTCCCAGTGTAGTTTAAAATTAGCCAGATCAGGGTTTCCTCACTTAACCGCTACTCTTTGGTTAACTCCAGATTCTGGGGAGTTTATGCAAAGTTGAGTCAAGGCAGGCAGTGAGAAATCTTATCCTCAGGAGTCATATTCTGTCTATGCAGGCAGTCGTGTTGGCCTCATTAAGCTGTTCATAGCCTAATGGGTTACAGACCACCAGTCCAAATGTAGCCTTTTCTGGTGCACCAAACCTCTTTCAGCTAACTGTACACTATAACTCCAAACCTCTCATCTACTGCTTTGAGACTTGTAGATTTGGTCCAATTGTCTCATGCTACTAAATACAAGCTCTGTGAGGGCAGAAATCTTACGTGTCCTGTTCATCATTGTTCTCTGAGTTCACAAAATAATATCTGAAACATAATATGTGCTTAACAAATATTTGTTGTTTGATGAGCTGGTCTTTGGTTTCCTTATACTCCACTTCTATATGTTGGTGGGAAGGAGAGAATTTCTTTGTTCTTTTCCATAGTCAGAGTTCTAATTCAGGAAATAAAACTAAGTCCTTCATTCCTCAGAACTTCTCTAGGGGCCTTGTGGTGCCTCTCTTCTCCCGCTATGCCCTAGAATACTCTAGATAAATCTTTGAGGCTCTGAGACTATAAAGCTCTTATTCTTCCTGCAGAGTGCTCTCTGTATATCTTTTGAGTTAGGAGCTTAGACAAGGGTTGAGACAGCAAGGGTGAGTAGGAACGGGTGAGAGAGAGAGAGAGAGAGAGAGATTGTTCAACAGAATATATATGCATATACATACACACATATACATATGTATATGTATATGTATATGTATATGTATATGTATATGTATATGTGTGTATGTCACACTGCCCCAATCCAGCCACAATGGAGACAGAGACAAAGTCATAAAGAAGAAGGAACACAAAAGATATCATAAGGACTTCTGTTTTGACCTCAGGCTTCCACCATTGGACATTATGATCAGAGGACCATCATTTTTATAAGGATCGTTTTCCTCATCTGTAAAATAGTGGACTGAACATGGTGACCTGAATAGGTTCTTTTCTGGTGGTTCTGACCACCAGAGAGTCTAAAAACTGCTGAATCTTTAATCAATCTCCTTGCTTTAATGTTCAATCTGAAAAGACCCTCAGTTATGTCTAGGCATCTTGAAGCAGAGTTTCTTGGTAGGATACAATTAAGGGTATGATAGAATCAGAACTCAGATATGGGGTCCTGAACTTCCTCTCCCTCCCTATCCATTCTGACCCCTCTTTTTAGTTCCTCCCAACTCCCCACACCCTCTATCAAGGGTGGGAGAGTTCCAGACTGACTGTGCACATCCCGAAGCATCCTCTGCACTCCTCCCAGACCTCCAGCTAACAATATCCTCCATCTCTTTGCAGAATTTCCATCCAGAGTGAGGCTGGTGGGAGGTCCCCACCGCTGTGAAGGGCGGGTGGAGGTGGAAAGGAAGGGCCAGTGGGGCACTGTGTGCGATGATGGCTGGGACATGAAAGATGTGGCTGTGCTATGCCGGGAACTGGGCTGTGGAGCAGCAAAGAAATCCCCTAGTGGTTTTCAATATGAGCCATCTACAGAGAAAGAGCAAAAGGTCCTCATCCAAATGGTGAATTGCAGTGGGATGGAAGATACGCTGGCTCAATGTAAGCAAGATGAAGATGTTTTTGATTGTTCACTTGAGGAGGAAGCTGGAGCATCATGTGAGAGTAAGTATGGCAGGCTCAAGGATCATCTTGCTCAGGCCCCACATGGCCAGCCACTCTTGTTAGTCTTTTTTCTCTGTCACAGACTTTCACACAATGACTAATTGTCCCCTCATCCCTCAAATCTCACACATTCTCAGTTGTGAGCCCTGGAGATAATAATATCCTCAACCAGAATTGTCTCTATATTTAATTGAATGAATGTTTTTCTCTTAATATCAATTTGTATGAGAACTGGTTTCTGCTACTTACACAGATGCAAATGTTCAGTGGTTGAATGGTATATCCTCTATCTGAAACTGGGGGTGGAGTTCTAGGGAAAGAAATGAGCTCACAAGGCATAATGTGTGTTTTATAATAGTTTCAGTTCTTGAGGAATCTACCATGTTAGTCTATTAGGCAGGAGATACTCATAGGAAACCAACACAATCTCAGAGAGTTAGAAGATAGAAGGATTGATAGCTAGGTAAACACACACAAAACATGTATCCTTTGCTTCCTACATGTATTTGCTTTCTATGTATAACTATTTTTTCCACTCTGTACACTTTCTCCTCCCTTACACTGTGATTTGACTGAGGGACTATGTCTCCTCTTTTTTGTCTCCCCACAGAATTTGTTATCAGAGCAACAGCCACCTTTGTTCTCCCTGATGCTGAAGTCTCATTCCTATTTTTCAGAATGGTTGAATATTGGGAACACTAATGTGACATACTTGGTTAATGCCAACATTGAAATGAGATATTTTTTATTTTTTTTGGTGGTACTGGGGTTTGAATTCAGAGCTTCACACCTGCTAGGCAGTTGCTCTGCCACTTATGCTGTGCCTGAGGTTTTTGATCTTTCATGTTATATATCTATATAATCTATCATCATCTATCTATCTATCTATCTATCTATCTATCTATCTATCTATCATCTATCTGTCTATATTTAAATCTGTAAGTCTCTACTGTCTCTTTGAGAAGCAATGAGAATTTGAACATGAAGATACTTTGAAAAATTAAAATACTAGAGAAATAGTAATGATTCAATCTGGGATTGAGAAACCACTCATGTCATTGATTCCCTCATCCATTCCCTCAGCAAGCATCTATTAGACAGTGCTTATCTAGTGTACACGGTACTGAACACCTAGAACAGAGTCATGTGTACTTTGGGCTCTCTTTTATGAAATAATCATGCTCTTGAAGGGAGCATACATTTTTCTCTTTCCTTTACCCCAGACCCAGAGAGCTTCTTCTTTCCAGTCCCAGAGAGTGTGCGGCTGGTTGATGGCCCTGGGCGCTGTGAGGGACGAGTGGAGGTACAGCACCAGGGCCAGTGGAGCACAGTGTGCAAAACAGGCTGGAGTTTCCAGGGTGCAAAGGTGGTGTGCCGGCAGTTGGGATGTGGGAAGGCACTACTGATCCGAAAACACTGCAACAAGGCTTTCCAGGTACAAGAACCCATCTGGATGAGTCAGATATCATGCACAGGACAAGAAGCAGCTCTTCAGGATTGCCATTTTGGGCCATGGGAAAAGAACAACTGCACCCATGATGAGGACATGTGGGTGGAGTGTGAAGGTAATGTTAGGTAATGCCTGTATGTACAGAGACTAAGTTCACTCACAGATGTGATTAAATGGAACCTATTTAAACAATATTTACAGAGAACTACTCATGCACCAAAGGACCACTCCAAACTTATTTAATTGTGTGGATTGTCAATTGTCTTGTTTTTAAAATGGGGATAATAATAACTGTCTTTATATAGGAAAATGCTTTGAAAATATCATGTACTATATTAACATGAACTGTTTTTATAGTGAATTTTATATCATAGAGACAAGGTACACTTTCTTGTATCTGAGTTCTTCAATTTTTAAAACAGAAAGTTATTCACAAATATTAAATTTATAAAATAGATTAGGAAAGTGAAAAGATTCTAGTTAAGGAAACAGACCTGGGCCAAAAGGGTAGGAACCTGATGGAGCCCTAGAGGAGGATGGGCATGCATGAGAAAAGTTTCAAAAGTGCTGATAGGGTTTGGGAGAGGATGTGAATGATCTTATTTTTGCTTTTTTTGTTTTCTTCCTCTCTCTACCCTCCAACTTTCTTCCCTACCCTACAGATGCCTTTGAATTGAGGCTGGTAGGAAGAGAAAACCTCTGCTCTGGGAGACTGGAGGTACGGCACAAGGGCGTGTGGGGCTCTGTCTGTGATGATGGCTGGGGAGAAGAAGAGGACCAAGTGGTGTGCAGGCAACTGGGCTGTGGAAAGTCCCTCTCTCCATCCTCCAAAGCCCGGAAAAGCTATGGCTCTGGAGTGGGCCGCATCTGGATGGATGATGTTCACTGCTCAGGGGAGGAGCAGTCCCTGGAGCAGTGCCAGCACAGGTTTTGGGGGTATCATGACTGCACTCACAAGGAAGATGTGGCTGTGATCTGCTCAGGTAAGCCTATAGGCAGTGTTCACAAGGGTGGCATATGGAGGATGATGGAGGAAGAGAGGTGGTGGGGTGGAATCCGAGGATAAGGGTAGCTCCACCAAGGGCCACATAGCTGCCCATAGTCATTGTCTACTCCCTGGGTACTTACAGGGATGGGACTGGGACACTCTATCAGGGTTGTGTGTGTGTTTTTTTTAGGGGGAGGGCATGGACATAGCAAGAAGCATACAGTTACTGACTATGAGAACAAGAGGAATTTTGAAAATTACCTGGTTAACATTCTTATATTAAACATGAAAAAAGAGAGAGAGTCAACAAAAACAAGCAACTTTCCAAAATCATAAAAATTCCTTTCAATTCATATAAAGGAACTAAGTGACCAATATTTACTTTCAACCCAGGGTTAGTATTCTTAGATGACCCAGCTCTCAAACCCTGTTGAACAATGCAAGATGCTCCTACCTCATTCTATCTGTTGTTATACCCTAGACTTCATTTCCAGTGTTTGTGGGGTCAGGAGTTCTGTAAAAACATTCACAAGAGTCATAAGATTCATAAGAGAGAACAGGATACCAACCCTAAATTATAGTTTTCTTCAGGAGAGTGAAGGAAAAATCTATTTTAACCTGGGCGAGGAAGTCCAAGTATAGTTCTTGGGTGGCTGACTCAAGAGCCAAGTGGCTAAAGTCCAGTTGTGGAATTAAGGTCAAGGGCTGGCTGTACAGGGTATCTTGATTCAATAACTAATTCTGGAACTAAGTAAGAACTGATATGGTGGCTCATGTCTGTAATCTCAGCTACAAGGGAGGCAAAGATTGGGAGGATCTTGGTTGGAGGTTAGTCTAGACAAAAAGTTAGCAGGACCCCCATCTCAACAAGCAAACATTCCTGTGATCCCAGTTATGTAGGAGACTATAGGCAGGAATTCTGAAACTGTTGACTGAGGCTGGCCCAGGGCAAAAACGCAAGCCTCTTCCTGAAAAATAACTGAAGCAAAAAAAAAAAAAAAACAACTGGAGGAATGGCTGAAGTGGTAGAGCACCTGCCTAGCAAAAACAAGGCCCTGAATTCAAATCCCAGAACCCACTCCCTCCCCCCCAAAAAACCTTGATATTTAACCAAGGAGTGTGAATAGCAGTTAATGCTCAGAAAAGTATAGATTTAGTGGCAAAAGGTCAGAATTTGAATCTGGATGCTTCAAAGCTATACAATCTTAGAAAGTCACTGAACGACTACAAAACTCACTGTTTTCATCTATACAATAGAAAGACACCTGTCACATTTGCCCCAAAGACTTTTGTGACTGTGTAAGGGTAAGATATGAATATAGTCAGCCTTATCATTCCATGTGTTCCATATCTATTGATTCAACCACCCATGGATTGAAAATATGTATTTGATGTCTATACTCCCAAAAGTAATCTACATGTTTAATGCAATTCCCATCAAAATTCCAATGACATTCATTAAAGAGATTGAAAAATCTACTGTGAAATTTATATGGAAACTCAAGAGGCCATGAAGAGCCAAGGCAATACTCAATCAAAAGAACAATGCTGGAGGTATCACGATACCTGACTTCAAACTATATTACAAAGCAATAACGATAAAAACAGCATGGTACTGGCACAAAAACAGACATGAAGACCAGTGGAACAGAATAGAGGACCCAAATATGAAGCCACACAACTATAACCAACTTGTCTTTGACAAAGGAGCTAAAAATATACAATAGAGAAATAGCAGCCTCTTCAACAAAAACTGCTGGGAAAACTGGTTAGCAGTCTGCAAAAAACTGAAACTAGATCCATGTATATCACCCTATACCAAGATTAACTCAAAATGGATCAAGGATCTTAATATCAGACCACAAACTCTAAAGCTGATACAAGAAAGAGTAGGAAATACTCTGGAGTTAGTAGGTATAGGTAAGAACTTTCTCAACGAAACCCCAGCATCACAGCAACTAAGAGATAGCATAGATAAATAGGACCTCATAAAACTAAAAAGCTTCTGTTCATCAAAATAAATGGTCTCTAAACTGAAGAGAACACCCACAGAGTGGGAGAAAATATTTGCCAACTATACAGCAGACAAAGGACTGATAACCAGAATATATAGGGAACTTAAAAAACTAAATTCTCCCCAAACTAATGAACCAATAAAGAAATGGGCAAGTGAACTAAACAGAACTTTCTCAAAAGAAGAAATTCAAATGGCCAGAAAACACATGAAAAAATGCTCACCATCTCTAGCAATAAAGGAAATGCAAATTAAAACCACACTAAAATTCCACCTCACCCCTGTTAGAATAGCCATCATCAGCAACACCACCAACAACAGGTGTTGACAAGGATGCGGGAAAAAGGAACCCTCTTACACTGTTGGTGGGAATGTAAACTAGTACAACCACTCTGGAAAAAAATTTGGAGGCTACTTAAAAAGCTAAACATTGATCTAACATTTGATCCAGCAATACCACTCTTGGGGACATACCCAAAAGACTGTGACACAGGTTACTCCAGAGGCACCTGCACACCCATGTTTATTGCAGCACTATTCACAACAGCCAAGTTGTGGAAACAGCCAAGATGCCCCACCACTGACGAATGGATTAAGAAAATGTGGTATCTATACACAATGGAATTTTATGCAGCCATGAAGAAGAACGAAATATTATTATTCCCTGGTAAATGGATGGAATTGGAGAACATCATTCTGAGTGAGGTTAGCCTGGCCCAAAAGACAAAAAATCGTATGTTCTCCCTCATATGTGGACATTAGATCAAGGGCAAACACAACAATGGGATTGGACTTTGAGCACATGATAAAAGGGAGAGCATACAAGGGAGGGGTGAGGATAGGTAAGACACCTAAAAAATTAGCTAGCATTTGTTGCCCTTAACACAGAGAAACTAAAGCAGATACCTTAAAAGCAACTGAGGCCAATAGGAAAAGGGGACCAGGAACTAGAGAAAAGGTGAGATCAAAAAGAATTAACCTAGAAGGTAACACACACGCATAGGAAATCAATGTGAGTCAACTCCCTGTATAGCTATCCTTATTTCAACCAGCAAAAACCCTTGTTCCTTCCTATTATGGCTTATACTCTCTCTTCAACAAAATTAGAAATAAGGGCAAAATAGTTTCTGCTGGGTATTGAGGGGGTGGGGGGGAGAGGGAGGGGGCGGAGTACATGGTAAGGGAGGTAGTGGGGGCAGGTGGGAGAAACGACCCAAGCCTTGTATGCACATATAAATAATAAAACAATAAAAAAAAAGAAAATATGTATTTGAAAAAACTTACATCTGTACTGAACATGAACTGACTTTTTCTTCTTATCATCATTCCCTTAATGGTACAGTATAACAATTTTTTACATAATATTTACATTTTATTAGTTATTATGAGTAATCTAAAGATGATTTAAAATACACAGAAGGATGTACTCAGGTCATATGCAAATTTTTAAGACACAACTTTCTATAAGAGATTTGAGCTCCCATGGATTTTGGTATCCTCAGGGTCCTGGCACCAATTTTCTGTGGATACAAAGGAATGACTGTAGTGTTTGTGACTCACATGTGAGCTGCTCAAATATGTCCCCAGACTACTTCAGATTTTTACCTGGCTTACATCATTGTGGGATATGTAGATGGCTTAGTTGCTTCCTATTCTGGGCCCCAGTTGCTTCCTTAGACATTTTAACTTGAATGGAATAATTCACTCCAGGCCAATGTCCATCCTTACTGCCTTTTTCTCTTCTCTTTACAGAACAGTATCCTGGAATTTTTGAGGCTTGACCTGACCTCCACTGACCCTGCATGTCCCCTGCTTGTTCTTCTGGGCTGTGATTATTCTGCTGGTCACAGTGGGCCTCAAACTTTGGCTCCTTCAGCCTCTCAGGGAGACCTTGGTCCCAGACCACTCAATCCCATTGCTGCCTCTTGATAGGAGCTGCTGGGTTCCCTTATTGGGGAAGATGAGCTTCCTACTGTCCTATGTTCACCACTGACCTTTTGCACTGGCTCTGGTCTTGCCTGCCACTTCCCAACCTGCCAGCAATTCTTAGGATTGTCACTGTGACCACATGTGCAGGCCATTACTAGGGCAAGACCTGTTTGTAAACAACATTAAAGGAATGAAACAACAAAAAGTATATTTGAAAGAGAACAGACACACATTCTCTTTTTCAAAACTTGGGGGGAAACAGTCTTTATGCATCCTCCTTTCACCCACACTTTCCAACCTCTAGGAATCACCATTTTACTTTCAGCTTGATTTTTTTCAGTTTCGACATATAATAGAGAACATGTAGTATTTGTCTTTGTGTGTCTAGCTTATTTCACTTAGCATAATGTCCTCCAGTTCCATCCATTTTGCTGAAAATGACAGGATTCATTTTTCTTTATGGCTGAATAATATACCATTATGTATATATCCCACCTTTTAAAATCCATTATCTGTTGATGGGCATCTAAACTGATTCTGTATCTTAGCTACTGTGAATAGTGCAGCAATAATCATGGGTGTGCAGGGAACTCTTTGGTATGCTGATTTTATTTCCTTTGGATATAGTGCAGAAGTCTGTAACATTATATATTTTATATATGTACATATACATAAGTGTACATAAGTCTATGTACATATATAGTCTTTCTATGCCCATGGGGAGATCTTCACAGACATTTAAAAATGATACAATCCTGCCCACCTGGGCAGAGTTGACTGTACCAAGAGTGGTACATTCCAGGAAACAGAACTATGACCAAAAGTTGAGTAGTTTCTCCAAGCAGCTGGATTTCTAACAAGTTAGCCCAGGATCTGGGGGAGAACATTTCTCATGTACCATGTGGATCAGAGGACCAGAGGAAGCCATTCCACAGAGAAACAATAATGAACAGGGTAATAATGAAATAGGTGCACTTAGAGGAACAGACATGAGCAACACAGAGATTCTGTAGAGAATTTTTAGTTTCTTGTCTCTTCCCAGGATTCAAAAGCATTCCTGAACTTATGTTCTGTGGCAAACTGCTGGGTATTTACAATACTTTTTTTTTGTTTTTTTGACAGTGCTAGGGATGGAACCCAGGGCCTTGCAAGTGCTATACCACTGAACCACATCCCTAGTCCTATAATACTTTTCAAAATGCAAAAACAAAAACCAAATGAAATTCAGTTGTCTCATGTTGGCTTTAGTATTTCCAATCAAAAGAACCCCAACCAGTTTACTTATTTTAAATTAACAACGAAGTGATAACCCATCTTTCTTTGTCAAAGTTGATTAGATAAGCGCGGTTGTTAGCAATGCATAAAGTGTTACTGCATTAATGAAATCAAGCTTATTGTTCTGAAAATATGAGACCCAGGGCCATTGGTCCTCATAACAGAGAAACCATTCCAAGATATTTCTCTTGAGTGACCCTATTAAATGGATGTCCAATCAACTTGATCTATGTAGGTATTGAATAAATCTCATGATCTCCACATTACAATTCAGTGGAGGTGGGTCATAGAAGACAGGAAACTCAGGAGAGACAGTGCTTCATGCTTTCTGCCTCTTCTCCTGGAAAGGCTCTCTTCAACTTTGCTACATGGTAGACTTTTAGTCACTTTCAATGGCTTTAGTATGCAACTCAAATCAGATTGCACTCAATCTTGCTTAAGTCCCTTAGGGAACTTCCCATTGTACCTAAGTGGAATGCAGACTTTTTACTTTGTCTTAAAAGGTTATGCATGATCTGCCCCCCTACCCACTCTCCATTCTTCTCCCGTCCTCCTTCTTCTTTTGGTACTAATGGGATTGAATTAGGGCCTCATCCTTGCTAGGATGGCAGTTGAGTCATGCCCCCAGCCCTTTTGGCTTTAGTTGTTTTTCACGTAGGTCTTGTTTTGTACACCTCCTGCACAGGTGGTATTATAGATCTGTACCACCATGCCTAGCTTGTTTGTTGAGATGTAGGTCTCACTAACATTTTGTCAGGAGTAGCCTCAAACTGAAATCCTCCCCATCTCTACCTACTAAGTATCTGAGATTACAGGCATGAGCCATAGCTATGGCCTTACTCTCTTATCTTATATGGGCATACCTTGTTTTTATTATGCTTTGCTTCCTTAGATACAACAGTTTACTAACCCCTGGTAAATCTTCTACAGGAATAGGTTTTGGGACAGAAACTGTTTGTAAATGTTGTGTCTAATACTTATTGAACCTCTGCATAGATGCTCATTAAGATCTTAGGGGAGAGGTCTGGTCTGGGAGATGCAGCTGAGGGAATCATTGCATACTTGTGGTATACAAAGCCATGAGACTGGAGCACTTCAGTCACAAGAAAACAACTGAAACTGAGAAAGAGAGGAAACACAGGACTGAGCCCAGGATTTAACTTGGATTCCCCTGAAACAAGGACTTGGATGTAGGTTTCTATGGGTGGTAACTCCAGGAAACTATTGTGGGTAATGGGCAAGTGAGTAGGACAGGGGAACCCAACGAAGTGAGCTTTGGTGAGCTTCTTACTGCAATGGGCAATGAGTCTTGCCACTGAGAGTCTTCAGTGGTGTTGTGTAGAAACAAGCCCTGCTACTGGCTTTTCTGGGTCTTCAGCTTGGAGACAACACATCCTGAGACTTCTCAGTTTTCATAATTGTGTGAGAAAATTCCTTATAATAAATATATGAGTACACACATGCTAAGATAAATGGAAAACTATGACAATTGAATCTAGGCAGGATGACTAATGGCCCAGACACTTTAGGAATGAAGATTTGGGTCATCCATGACTGGTAAAGAACCACAGCCAGTTGAAGTGCTTGTTGAAAGTGAAGGGAACACAGAATGAGTGGAAAAGAAAGTAGCTATAGATACCACCCATGACAAGTGACCAGTCACAGAAATGGTGACTGTAATTGTTACGAGCATTCTCCTTGTTTTGCCATGATATATTTGTGTGTGTATATGTGTGTGTGTGTGGTATATCCATGGGAGAGGGAAGAAAATAAAGATATTTGGCATATATGCAATATCTCTGTTTTCTTTCCTCTCTTATTCCTTTATCTTGAAAGATAAAAATGCATTGACTTATTATCATAATAATTAAACATTATTAATTTTACATCATAGTATTTAAACTATGAGACATACAGAAAAGAGTAAGCATCACTTTAGGACTTTACCACCTCTTCTGGATTAAAGGCTAGATTATTTTCAGTTGTTTGAAAGATCACTTTATTATGATCTTTATGTGGAATGGGAGCCACAATATTGTCTTTATTTAGAGACTGAATATGGTTTTAGAAGACATGTTGCCAAATTAACATGGGGTTGACTTGTAATGGTTAAGTTTACATATCAACTTGCTGAGTCTTGGGGTGTTCAGGTATTTGATTAAACAATTACTCTGGAGGTGCCTATGAGAGTGTTTCTAGATAAGATCAGCATTTCTCAAAGTAAAACAAATTGGGACTGTGTCTATTTAAGACTTCACTGGTTCATACAAGTCCTTCCCTAAATTCAGGTTTTCAAAGATTTTCCCTTTGTTTCACCATAATCAGGGATTGCCTCTGAAATTTTCCTTCCTGTTATTTTGACCTTGTCAAGGCTCAATTCTTCTTTTTAAAATTAGTATATATTACAAAATAATGGGTTTCATTGTGATGTTTTCATACATGTATATAACGTACTTTGATCATGCTCACTTCCTATTCTCTTATTCCCTGTCTTCTTTTCCCTGATCTTCTTCCTCTTCCCTGAAGCCCCCCTTTTACTTTCATGTCCAGATTCCCCCTTGATTCAATATATGAGAGAAAACATATGATGCTTGTCTTTCTCAGTCTGGCTTATTTTGCTTAAAAATTGTGATCTTCAGTTCCATCCATTATCCTGCAAACAACATAATTTCATTCTTCTTGATGGATAAATAATGCTTCATTGTATATATGTATCACATTTTCTTTATCCATTCATCTGCTTATGGGCACCAAGGTAGGTTTTATAACTTGGCTGTTATGAATAGTGCCATGATAAACATGGGTGTACAATTATCTCTATTGTATTCCACCTTTGATTCCTTCAGGTGTATCCATAGGAGTGGTATTGCTGGATCATACGGTAGTTCTATTTTTAGCTTTTTAAGGACCTCCATAGTGATTTCCATAATGCTAGACTAATTTACAATGGTATAAGACTTCCTTTTTGCCCCTACATCCTCATCAATTGCTTTTTATTTTCTTGATGATAGCAATTCTGACAGGGGAATCTCAATGTAGCTTCAAAAAATATTTTTAGTACTGAGGATTGAACTTGAATCTTCAGGCTTTCTAGGCAAGCACTCTACCACTTAAACCATGCTCCTAGACCTTTTGATTTGTGTTTTGTTTCAAAAATAGCATCTCACTTTTGCTCAAGCTGGCTTCAATTCTTGCTCTCCTCCTGCCTCTGCCTCTGGAGAAGCTGTGATTATAAGTATATACCACCACAACTGGCCTTGATGTAGTTTTAATTTGTATTTCTCGGATTCATTTTTTGTGTTTTGGAACAAATTTACAAATCAAATAAGTCATAGCTCTTGATAATTTTTTCCTGAGATATATATAGAAAAATCTCTCCTTTTATGGAAATATATGTAGAGAATGTGTACCCCTAACAATACAAAGCAGAGATCCAATAAACAAGTGACTTATTTTGTGTACTAAAAATAGGACTATCATAGAATTGAGCAATACCACTCCTAGGGATATACCTGTAGGAACCAAAGGTGGCATAAAATAGAGATAACTACATACAAGTAAGTGTAATATTTTGAAA